TCACGACCTCAGTGTTGACAGGCTAGTGATACAGTAGTTCGACTACTTCGAAAAAATTTATAAATCTGACAGCACTTATAATACATATTGTTAGGACACATGTCTTTTGTTGAAGATTACACGTCCTCCTCTAGATGTCTTTCGGTTATTTCTGTAGTTGGGTTACTGTCTCATTGACGTATTCTAGTACCTCACATCTCCTTTTATTCGTGCATCACTTAATTTTCCCGTGTGCACAGATGGCTGGAAAAAAATATATTATCATATAAATCTGATAGCACTGCCAGTTTTGCTTTGTATCAAATATAGCGGATTGATTTGAATGTTTTCTACTTAAAGTCTTGTAGCAAATATTTCATGCATATTAAAGCCATTATGTCAGAAAATCAAATCGTAAAGCTATTGCACATGTGTCTAGTCTACTTATTTACTTTCTTGTTTTGGTATTTTCTGAGCGAAGAAAGAAAGAATGCTACTGAAACGCACATACGCACTTGCTTCAAATGTGTTTTCTGGAATAAATCCTCTAATTCATGGCCCCATTGCTTTCTATTAGACACTCTTAAGCCTTTATAGCTATGCTGTCTTAAGTTCAAATAAAGTGGCAATCATTTCATATATATAATTTATTAGCCTCCTATTGGAGAGTATATAACAAAGCAAAGACAATTACAATTAATCATATACAAACAAAACGAGTTATGATTTACACAGAGACAGTTAATAAAGACGGGATCACGACGAAAAGTTCAATTATTTACACATGTGCTTTAAAGTTTTTTGAAGATACAGTAATGTGTGTACTACTAGTAGCAGTTGCAGTTCTGTAACCATTTACAAGAATTGTAAATAAAATTTACACACGCAAAGTAAAACTGTTCACGTTCCTCATTCTCTAGATCAAAATCGGTGTCACAGGCAAGAATACAATTTAGCAATTTATTGTCAGTCATATTTCCTAAGTGAACACTAAATGTAATCATGTTTATGTCTATAACACTCCTCCAAAATTGATCTCGAGCATCAACTGTATAGTCACATGATAGTATTGCATGGGTACAAGGATCATCAAAAAGTTTACCACATTTATCACATAATATTCTGTTGTTTTGTAAGTTTTCACGTATAAGACAGCACGTTGATGTTACAAAATGGGCCTGCCTGCGCATCAGTGGGTGACGTAGTGCTACTCTCCACGCCGCATGCGGTACACAAAACGAGTGAATGTCTTTAAAAACAACAAAATCGGGATCCACTGCCATACGATGATGCCACTCTACTACTTCAACCTGATAAATTGACGACTTGACTATCGATTTCCAAGTTGCAGAACTAGGAAATTGTCCATCATTGAGAAACTGATTTACATATTTCGATAAACCATATTTTGTGAGTATTTCAATAATGTCACAAGCAAAACCTAATCTGGTGTCATATTGATTATATCTAGCACCAATGAGTCTACGGAGAAGAATACGGAATGAGACAGCTGAGTATGGAAGGCGACATGTTCTTCCAAAGAACAACAGTTTCCGTTCACATATAAAACTTTCAATTGAAAGCCATCCTAACAATGACAAGCACATGTCGCTTCTTGTTCTTCTAGGTAAACCTTGTATAAATTTACAAATATAGTGGTGAGTTCTTTCAAGCATCAGTGTTTCAGTGCAGGTAAGTTTTCCCCAGAGTTCACAACCGTATAGTGCTTTCGGATAGCAGAGCTGACGGATAATCTTTGCGCATACAATTGGATTTACAATGGCTGGGTGTATTCCAAGGCGTATAACTGATGTCGTCGTCGAGCGCAAGGTGCGACAAGCTTTAAGAGTTCTGTCCATTGTTTTTAAAGATGTATTTTCTGAGCGAAGAAAGAAAGAATGCTACTGAAACGCACATACGCACTTGCTTCAAATGTGTTTTCTGGAATAAATCCTCTAATTCATGGCCCCATTGCTTTCTATTAGACACTCTTAAGCCTTTATAGCTATGCTGTCTTAAGTTCAAATAAAGTGGCAATCATTTCATAGTAGAACTATACGTTATCCTGACTTGTGCTGACAAATTTAACATTTCTTTATTTGCATATTAGAGCGCACTGGTTCCCGGAAGTTGACTAATATAAAAACAGGTACTTCTGATCTGAGCAACAGGGCAAATATGTCCTCTATCATAATTTCATATATGTATTTTATTATTCACGAGAAACTTAATATATGTAGCAACATTCCAGCAGCGCCTGCATACGGAGTATATATCTCCCAATTGATACGATATTCCCGGGCTTGTGTTTCCTATCATGATTTTCTTGATAAACATTGCTGCTCACAAAGAAGCTATTAAACCAAGAGTTCCAAATGGTGAAGTTGAAGTCATCCCTTCGTAAATTTAACGGACGCCATCACGAGTTGGTTGACCGTTATGGAATAACCGTTTTACAGATGATATCGGATATGTTCCTTATGTCGTAACTACAGTACCCTCCCTTTTCACAAATGTGACTTACCGAATTAGACTATTTACCGGATGTGTAATAACATAAACAACATGAAGGGTGCCACATGTGGAGCAGGATCTGCTTACCCTTCCTGAGCACCTGAGATCACCCCCAGTTTTTGGTGGGGTTCGTGTTGCTTAGTCTTTGGTGTTCTATGTTGTGTCATCTGTACTTTTATTTGTCTGTTTGTCTTTTTATTTTTGGCCATGGCGTTGTCAGTTTGTTTTCGATCTATGAGTTTGACTGTCCCTCTGGTATCTTTCGTCCCTCTTTTGTACACAAACAGAAGGCAAACAAAAAAAATAGGGAGCAGATTTTCATAATGGAGGTGCAAATGGTTTACAAAATACGGGAAAACATTATTGAAACAGAACAGTTGCTTGGAAACATGCATCCAAAAAATCTGCCCCTATTCAAAAGAATTTTTTGTTTTTAAGGATGCTCGCTGGGATGTTTTAAGGATGCTCGCTCGGATGATTTTTAAGGATGCTCGCTCGGATGTTTTGTTTAATGATGCTCGCTCGGCTGTCTTTTAAGGATGCTCGCTCGGCTGTTTTGTTTAAGGAAGCTCGCTCGGCTGTCTTTTAAGGATGCTCGCTCGGATGTTTTGTTAAGGATGCTCGCTCGGCTGTCTTTTAAGGATGCTCGCTCGGATAATTTGTTTAAGGATGCTCGCTCGGATGTTTTGTTTAAAGATGCTCGCTTGGATGTTTAGTTTAAGGATGCTCGCTCGGGCTCGGATGCTTTTTAAGGATGCTCGCTCGGATGTTTTAAGGATGCTCGCTCGGCTGTTTTGCAATCATTTCCCGAATACAGAGTCCAACAAGGGAGTTTTTTTTTGCTTATTATTGTAAACATTACATGTCAATACATTCCGCAATTCAATATGTCGGCTTCCTTAGTTACAGACAAGCTTACTGTCATCCAATCAGAGCCATTGATACAAAATAATTGCATTAGAATAAGCGTTTGATTGTGTTGTAACTTCATCGGAAGAGTTTGTATTAAAAGACTAACATTGAGGACGTATGCGATTTCGTGTAGAACGACGCACAATCGGTTGATTCTGTTGAGATTGTAACGTTTATATAGCTTCTGTCTCACTATCGGAAGTATGATAATCTGGTTCAAGATTAATTTCGGCGGTGCCAGTGCACTTCTGGTAAAAAGTAGTCTGACGGATTCGGTGCACGAACATATGCAACTTTGAGTCTATCTAAATGAGCATCATCTTTCAGAACTCTGCCGGTAGCCAGCTCTCGAACATTCACAATGTACTAACTAGTTTTATCTATTATATACTAATAATGTTTAACGAGGCCGAAATAAGGTACCGATATTTTCTGTATCCAACTAACAAATGTTGAAATTTTCAATAAAGTATGTTGCAATTAACAAAAATATATATAATATTGTACCAAGTGCTTAGTTTTAAATTAGTAATTTCAAATTTATTACACGTACAATGTATACAAATAATCAACAGGCCTCGGAAGAACGGAAGATAAAAATTTTAATAAAGCTAGAATATGACTTGAAAGTAAATTTTCTTATAATTTCTCTAAAATATTCTAATGTAATGATGAGAAGAAGAATTCACTTTAAAATGGAGCGTAAATATCGGCCAATGGGAAATAATTAGAACAATTCTTCGAACATTTCACAATTTATTTCTTGTCTTTTTTGGTGAAAAAAAAACGGAAGCTATTTGTTCAACGCACAAGATGTAACCATTTTCATTTGTGAGTAATTTTCACGGACGGACAAAACTCACCACTATCGGAAGTATGATAATCTGGTTCAAGATTAATTTCGGCGGTGCCAGTGCACTTCTGGTAAAAAGTAGTCTGACGGATTCGGTGCACGAACATATGCAACTTTGAGTCTATCTAAATGAGCATCGTCTTTCAGAACTCTGCCGGTAGCCAGCTCTCGAACATTCACAATGTACTAACTAGTTTTATCTATTATATACTAATAATGTTTAACGAGGCCGAAATAAGGTACCGATATTTTCTGTATCCAACTAACAAATGTTGAAATTTTCAATAAAGTATGTTGCAATTAAAAAAAATATATATAAATTATATTGTACCAAGTGCTTAGTTTTAAATTAGTAATTTCACATTTATTACACGTACAATGTATACAAATAATCAACAGGCCTCGGAAGAATGGAAGATAAAAAATTTAATAAAGCTAGAATATGACTTGAAAGTAAATTTTCTTATAATTTCTCTAAAATATTCTAATGTAATGATGAGAAGAAGAATTCACTTTAAAATGGAGCGTAAATATCGGCCAATGGGAAATAATTAGAACAATTCTTCGAACATTTCACAATTTATTTCTTGTCTTTTTTGGTGAAAAAAAACGGAAGCTATTTGTTCAACGCACAAGATGTAACCATTTACATTTGTGAGTAATTTTCACGGACGGACAAAATTAACCATTTTGGTAGCAGAAACAAAATCAAGCATGCTTGACTAGTGTTAAGACAATTAGAAAGAAAAATAAAATGTTTTATTAAAATTTTGGTTATTATCTGTACTTAATGATTTTCAAATTGGTTTTAGCAAACTCTCCGACACAAATCCTTTCCGTGTAGTCCAAACACAGAGCAGACGCCATTGTCATGTTGCAATTATCAATACATTGTACAAAGTGTCCGTTATGATCGACGACAAATATAAAGTTTTGTACAGTGAAAAGTATTTCACACTTGCTATTCGTAACTATACATCCAGGTTTAAACGTTGTTAATTCTGGACAATCGTATAATGCCCGGGTAGTGTCGTAATCAAATTTGAAATTTCCGAATTGGTTTAAAACAATTACTACACATCCATTCGTATCTGACACACAAATGTCTCCATTGTTATTCTCGGTTACAAACAATATTTTGTGACCGGGATGAAACAAAGCTTTTCCGTTATCATAATTTTGAATTTCTTGAACTGCTTTTCCGTGTGTGTACCGGACGATTTTATTATTTTCATAACTGTCATCAGACATGGTTACCAATATATCCCCTGCCATTGTACAATGTAGACCACTCGGGTGCCACTGTGGACCTACTTCTATAAAAGTTACTCTCTTTCCTTCTTTAATGATGGTTACTTTGCCAGGTTTCCCTTCTGTGAAGATTAATTCACCATTGTTTGTAATAGAAATGTCATTTGCATGTAAACTTATTGGCACTTCAGCTGTTTCAAGAACTTCCCCATCCATATTTATGCGCGCAATCATATTATCCTGTCCACAAACCCAGAACTGATCTTTCGGTAAGCTACATGCTCTTGTGGGTACCATCGGAGTCGGGACTGACCGAATAAGTTTTGGTTTATCCGATATTTTAAGATATCCTAATTCGAAGTATAACTTCTTCCAATCAACGAGTTTCGTGTCAAATTGAGGGTGTCGAATTTCAAATTCTGAAATAGTATCTGCTTTCTTGTGATGATAATTTACGACATCGTTAATATCTGCTGAACTCATAATATCTTTATTTCTTTGTAAAATGACACATGCTTGTTTTAAATATGCACTATCATTTGATAGATAATTATGCAATGCAGAACTATCTTCTTTCCTTAAATCATCTGCCTCGTTCTGATATCTGTCAAAAATTTCATCCATTTTTCGGTAACAATTTTCTCTATGCTCCTGAATAGATTTATCCAGTTCGTCGTAGGCAGATGTAGTGGTAGAGATTGCGTTTTCTATCCTTACAAGGTTCTGTTTAAACTCTGGTATTACTTTACTCTCCAATTCAGCATTTTCCTTATTTATCTCATGGTATCGATCATCGATAAAACTGGAAAGATACAGTGTTCTGTGACTTTGATGGTCTCTAGTAAATACACATTCTTGACATACGGGTATCTCACATTGTTTACAAATTCTGATGCATCTTACAAGCTTATGTTTTTGACATAGTGGGGAATGTATCTGAGTTTTTTTCTGTGTAAAAGACACAATATCGTGCTCATACTTCTTTCTTTTACTTCTGTTTCTGGAATGATCACAAACGCAATCTTGACAAAGATTAAACAAACAGGATTTGCAATGATTATCAGCAGCGATGGTTTCACAAAGGTCACAGACGGTAGTATTCTTATCGGATTTTATAAACCAATTACCCATGGTTCTCTACAAAAAAAAGTAATAGTCTATTAACAACTCTGTCAAATGTGAAGTAAATTTACCCACAAATTTATATTCCCAGCATTTTATAAACTGTATTAAAATGTACATTTCTTACAAATTGATGGTCAAATGGCAAAAATGCGATCTTTAAGTTTGAGGTCTTTCTTGACTCACGTGATATGAAATTGTACATGTATGACTGTTGCAATAATTGTCAGTTTGGTTTATCGATAATTCAGAGCTGTACAGAGGAAGTTAAGGTGATCAAAATAAAAAAATCTTCAGAGCCGTTCGGATTTTTATTTTACGCCAAAACATTGTTGTTTTCATACTATTAAAACAAAACAATTTTCAAAGACACTCACTTATTTGAAAGAATCATTGGAAATCAAAATATAAGATGTATTTTTGGTATGCATGTTCAGTGTTCTGTCTTATATCATATAATAAATATACTCAAAAATTATGTTTGAATTGCAAATGAAATATTCATTCTGTATTCATTATATATTATTTCAATGTATGTAGCAGTGTCAGTTTCCTTCTGTTCTGGGTTTGTTTGAGGAACATAATAAATTTTTGTCTAGATATCGAAAAGGTTCAGTTTACATTGTCTGGTCTCTTAAAGTCATCTCAGTACCAGAATCTATGACAAACGAGACTGTTTTAATTTTGAAATTATTAATTTCCCCCATCTCAGTAGCAACATACCAACTTCACTTGCATATGGGATATACATTTGCCGACTCATTCGGTAATCAAGAGATTGCATCTGCTACTAATTAGATATAAGAAGATGTGGTATGAGTGCCAATCAATCGGCAATCCTCGGGTGAATCCGCTACTCTCCTTCTAGATGAAGGTACGGAATCGGCCGAGTTGTGACGAATGGAGTGCCAATGTGACTGGCATACAAGTGAGAGGTTAAGCTAGCTATAAAACCTGGTTCAATCCACCATTTTCTACATAAGGAAATGCCTGTACCAAGTCCATTCGTTTGATGTTTTGAGCTTTTGATTTTTGCTATTTGCTTAGGGACTTTCCGTTCAGAAGTTTCCTAGGAGTTCGGTATTATTTTTATTTTACTGTTTTCTCTCACTTTACAATTCAAAATGTGGTGACTATGTTGAATGCATCAAACCCATCGAACTTAAGGTAACGGATACAACAGATACAGTTAAGTCTGCATCATATCTTGACGTACATCTAGAAATTGGCAATGAGGGTCGGTTGAAAACAAAACTTTACGACAAAAGAGATGATTTCAGCTTCCCAATTGTGGACTTTCCATTTCTATGTAGCAACATTCCAGCAGTGCTTGCATACGGAGTATATATCTCCCAGTTGATACGATATTCCCGGACTTATATTTCCTATCATGATTTCCTTGATAGAGGGTTGCTGCTCACAAAGAAGCTATTAAACTAAGAGTTCCAAGTGGTGAAGTTGAAATTATCCCTTTGTAAGTTTTACGGACGCCATCACGAGTTGGTTGACCGTTATGGAATATCCGTTTCACAGAATATAACGGATATGTTCCTAATGTCGTAACTATCCCGTCCCTTTTCACGAATGTGACCTACCGAATTATACTTATTACCGGGTTTGCACTAACATGAGCAACACGACAGGTACAACATGTCGAGCAGGATCTGCCTACCCATCCGGAAAACCTGAGATCACCCCCAGTTTTTGGTGGGGTTCATGTTGCCCAATCTTTAGTTTTCTATGTTGTGTTTTGTGTACTATTGTTTGTCTGTTTGTCTTTTGGTCTTTTTTCTTTTTTTATTCATGGCGCTGTCAGTTAATTTTTGACTTATGAGTTTGAATGGCCCTCTGGTATCTTTCGCCTCCCTTTTGTTAAGGAAACATTGACTCGTCGTTTAGGAAAAACAGAATGGTTTATGTTCGAAAATCTAATGTTGGGGTTAAAAAAGAAATAAGCGGGTTGGGTATTTCAACTTAATTTAGACCAATTTATAGAGATTGAGGAGACACTGACACATCGTTATAAGAAAAAAGTCAGAGTGGTTTATGTTCGAAAATCTGAAGCTAGGATAAAAAAAATCAATTTAGGGGTAGGGCAATGTAAGTTCATTTGGACTAATCTATAGAGATTGTGACGGGCGACGACTATAAACGTGTTGCGGAGGCATTGGCGCATTGTTAGAAAAATTTCCAGAGTGGTTTATATTCGAAAGTCTGAAGTTAGGGTGAAAAAAACTGATATTGACAAAATGAAATTTTGGGTCTGGCACTTTCAGTTAGTTTTGGACCAATTTATAGAGATTGTGACGGACAACGACTATATAGATGTTGTATAGGAAACATTGGTGCGTCGTTTGGGAAAAACTTCAGAGTGGTTTATGTTCAAAAATCTAATGTTAGGGTTAAAAAACTGAAATTGACAAAATGAAATTAAGAAGGGGAGTCGGTCATTTTAAGTTAATTAAGACCAATTTATAGAGATTGTGACAGGAAACGACGATATAGATGATGTAGAGGTGAAATTGGCGCATCGTTGAAGAAAAACTTAAGAGTGGTTTATGTTCGAAAATCTGAAGTTAGTGTTAAAACAACTGAAATTGACAAAATGAAATTAGGAGGGGGGTATGGCAATTTATAATAAGTTAATATTGATCCAACTTATAGAGATTGTGAAGGACACTAACTATAAAGGTGTTGAAGAGAAGACATTGGCGCATCGTTTACCACTTATATAGTCGTTACCCGTCACCATCTCTATAAATTGAAGCAATAGTATGGGACTCCTACACATCTAAGAACATCAACGACAATATAAGTGGCAAAGAAGAGACATTGACGCATCGTTTAGGAAAAACTCCAGAATGGTTTATGTTCGAAAATCTGAAGTTAGGTTAACTGAAAATCTGAAATTGCCAAATCAAATTAGGTATAAAACAAGTATATAGGTGTTGATAGGTGTTGTAGAGGAGAGATTGGCGCAACATTTAGGAAAAACTCCAGAGTGGGAAAATCCGAAGTTAGGGTAAAATAACTGAAATTGACAAAATGAATTTAGGTAGCTAGGGCACTGAAAGTTAATTTTGGTCCAATTCATAGAGATTGTGACGGACAACGACTATCTAGATGTTGTAGAGGAGACATACGTGCATCGTTTAGGGGTGGTATGTTTTCGACAATCTAAAACTAGTGTTAAAAGAACTGAAATTGACAAAATGAGAATATGGATTAGTGCAATTTAAGTCAGTTTTGAACCAATTTATAAAGATGGTGACGGGCAACGACTATATATAGTAGTTGTAGAGGCTACATTGGTGCATCTACACACTTATACAGTCGTTTACCGTCACAATCTCTATAAATGTGTCCAAATTGACTTAAAGTACCTTACCCCTAATTTCATTATGTCAATTTATATGTTTTAACACTAACTTCAAATTTTCGAACATAAACCACTCTGAAATTTTTCATTAACGATGCGTAAATGTCTCCTCTGCAACACATAGATAATCGTTGTCCGTCACAATTTCTATAAATTGGTGCATAATTAACTTAAATTGTCGTACCCTTAATTTCATTTCGTCAATTTCAGTTTTTTTACCCCAATTTCAGGTTTTCGAATATAAAACACTGTGACGTTTTTCCTAAACATAACATTAATGTCTCCCCTACATAACCTACAAGTAGTCAATGCCCGTCACAATTTCTTTAAATATGCATCTCTGCTAACGGAGAGAGAGAGAGAGAGAGAGTATCTATTTGTTCATTTTTGTCTATTCTTAAAATATTTTGTCAATTATTCTTATTTTATTTTATAATTTAGCACATCATTATACTCCTCTTTAGAACTTAGTACCTCGTTATTTTCTATTCTTAATTTTTGGGGCCTATTTTTTTATATTCTTTATTTTTTTTAACCATTTTGCTGTCGTCATGGTAATCTCGAGCTCAATTCACTAAACCCATACAGAGTCTCCTTAATATTTCCCCTATTGATTATCAAAGTTGACCTTAGATCAATTTGGCTATTAATAATTTAAGGTCCCCCTAGATCTTCATGTCTATACATGTTTCCGGTCTTAAATATTTTGCTTTTGATTTTGACTTTAGCGTTCCTGATGAAAAGCGCCTTGGACGAATACAATTTATAGTGTTGTTTTCCTTATTATTTACACACAGGCACTTGTCTCTGATTTTTTTTTACCTATATACTATATTGTTTTACCTATATACTTTATTGTTATTTTGTCTCAGAGACAAGTGCCTGTGCAATTACATCATGAAATTCATGAAAACAGAGAAATGAAAATATGTTTTCGTGAGTCATAAAAACAAAACAATTTATTATACTCACAAGCTTTGGAGATTGTTTGGTGGTAACGAAAATCAGGTTTAGAACAGTTTTAAATATTATGTCTCTATTAGATTTTGCAATAATCAATATCACACACGAGTTGTTTGGCCTTGGCTCAAGTTCTATTTTTAACTATCTCTATAATGTGTCTATTTTTTAAATAAATCAATCTACCTATAGAAATAAAATTAAATGTACATACGTAATAGTAATACACTGAGAGATAGGTGTGCCTGGATAAGAAACCCCGACGGCCGTATCCCGAAGTGTATAACTAACGTACACCCGATGCTAAACCCTTTATTTGTTGTTTACATTGAATATTAAATGAAAAAGAACGGATAGCATTTTTATTGACATTATCAAACCATGATAAATAAGATTTTTTTACTAGTGTCAAGTTATCCAGCAATTCTCATCCTGCAATTGCGTTCGAAAAACAACTTGAGTAACAATTTTATTTTTTTCAAATTCATGGTTTTTGACTTGTTTTGTTTGAAAAAAAAAGATAAATATCAAGTTTTTTATATCCTATTCACAAATTTCTAACTTAAGTTTACAAATTTCTAACTCATCTTTACGGTCTATAACTAGAATTTACAATTAGAAAAATCATGACGAATCACAAAGAGTTATAGATCTGTGAAGTCCCGGATATGGTTCGTTTTTATGCATGTTTAAGAATTTCTTGGGTAAGCTTTCTTAAAGGCCCAAAATTTCGTTCGAAACACGGAAATAAAGCCAAATTCTAATAATACACATTGGGGTACCCACTTTCCGACCCATTGTTTCGGTACGTAGTTCTTTATGGCTAGGGATAATAGACTCTGCTTCAAAGAATAGCTGTAATATAGTACTACATCGGGAGGGTAAAGCATTTCTGGGGTAAGCATTCTTAAAGGCCTAAAATTTCGTCCGAAATATGGCAATAAAGCCAAATTCGATAAAATACGCTCTAGGGTCATCCACTTTCCAACCAATTATCTGGGTAGTTCTTAATGGCTAGGGATTATAGACTCTGCTTCAATGAATAGCTATTGGATAGTACTACAATGGGAAGGTAAAGAATTTCTGGGTTAAGCTTTCTTAAAGACTCAAACTTTCGTTCGAAACACGGAAATAAAGCCAAATTTGATAAAATACGCTCTAGGGTCATCAACTTTCCTACCAATTGTTTGGGTAGTTCTTAATGGCTAGGGATTAGAGACTCTGCTTCAATGAATAGCTATTATATTGTTTAACATTGGGATAGTAGAGAATTTCTGGGGTAAGCTATTTTAAAGGCCCAAAATTTTGTTCGAAACAAGCAAAAAAGCCAAATTTTATAAAATTCGCATTGGGGTACCCACTTTCCGACCCATTGTTTCTGTAGGTCTTTATGGCTAGGGATTATAGACTGCTTCAATGATTAGCTCTTATATAGTACTACATCGGGAGGATAAAGAATTTCTAGGGTAAGTATTCTTAAAGGCCGGTATAGGCTTTGCTCATTGTTGAAGGCCGTACGGTGACCTATAGTTGTTAGTTTCTGTGTCATTTGGTCTCTTGTGGAGGTTGTCTCATTGGCAATCATACCACATCTTTTTTTTATATATTGATATTGTTGTCAGTTAGGAAGGCTCGCATGTCACTTTCGGTGCAGTCTTTCCTAATTACTCCGACATACAAACGTGGTGTTGATTGCTTCTATGTTTGTCTTTTTTCATGATTTTCTATAATCTTTGACATTTCATATGAACTAAATTCAGACATGCTATTATCATCGATGACTGTGTCTATCGCCCAATGCGTATTTTATCGAATTTGGCTTTATATCCATTTTTCGGACGCAATTTTCGTCCTCTAGGAATGCATACCCAGAAATTCGTTTGCCCCTCGTTGTAGTACTACCCAAAAGCTATTTATTAGAGCAGAATCTATAATCCCTAGCCATACAGAACTGCCGGGGCAATGGTTTTGAACAACTGGGTGACCCCAGTGCATATTTTATCAAATATGACTCTTTTTCAGTGTTACGGACGAAATTTTCGGCCTTTAAGAATGCTTACCCCAGAAATTCTTTACCCTCACGGTGTAGAACTATCCAATAGCTATTCCTTAGGGCAGCGTCTATAATGCCTAGCCATAAAGAACTACCGAGACAATGGGTCGGAAAGTGGGTGCCCCCAATGCGTATTTTATCGAATTTGGCTTTATTTCCATGTTTCGGACGCAATTTTCGTCCTCTAGGAATGCTTACCCCAGAAATTCTTTGGCCCCTCGTTGTAGTACTACCCAAAAGCTATTTATTAGAGCAGAATCTATAATCCCTAGCCATATAGAACTGCCGGGGCAATGGTTTCGAAGAAGTGGGTGACCCCAGTGCATATTTTATCAAATATGACTCTTTTTCCGTGTTAAGAATGCTTACCCCAGAAATTCTTTTTAGATGATACCCCACTAGTAACCTTACTCTGACGATCTTCATTTAAACTTTGACAAGTGAATAGATTTTACAAATGTCAAAGTTGCCGTTTTGTATATTCCCGTTAAATTCATGTGCTAATATGGATCAGCAGATCAAGGTTGACCGTATCGTGCATTCTTATTAAAAAAAATACATCATGCTCCTTGTATGCAGTTGTCAATATGGACGGATATAAGACGGACGACATTTTGAGTCAGGCGTTGGATTAGGTAGAAGAGACTAAAGATAAAAGCAATATTTATAATCCAAAGTACTTACATGTATCAGTTTAATGAAGGTAATCATAAATGTATTTTATATGTTACGGTTTTATACCCCCCCCCCCTTTCTTCTCAACATTAAACAAACATTCATATTCGAACATACTGACAGATAGGTGTGTCTGGATTAGAAACCAGACAACCGGACACGCTTAACATACAAAAATACAGATTACATATTTTGGGGCCATCCAGGGTGTGGCGTTCCTGGGGTTGGAACCCTCCTTTTTTACGATCAATATGATCAATATATGACATATGACTGGAACCCCCATTTATCCTGGAAATGGCTGGATCCGCCCCTGGGTGCCATCATTAGTTTTCAACATTCCAAACATTTATATTTATTTTATGATCTTTTATGAGTAAGACTTAGTCCAAATTAAAACTCTATGTTTTTGATGTATAATTCAAATAAAAATTCTTTACATGTATGCTCTTTAATACATTGCCATATAAGATAAAAAAAAAAATTAGCTTCAAGCAAGTGAGTATTTAAATGATTTTTTTTTAATTCAAAATAAATGCTTAATATTTTGTTCACTATTCGAATTTCCTGATATATGTTTTTTTTAAGGTTTATGTGAACCCTTTGTCAAAAATGGCTGCGTTTTTGTAGGATTTAATAATGTCCCCCATGAAATAATGGCCACCGGACATTATTTCATAGTAAATACTGTCTATGGACAATATTTACTTATTTAAATGTGTCCCGGACACAATTTCCTATGAAAATATGTCCTCAGGTATGAAAAAGTGTCCATGAACATGGACATTATTTAATAATATAATTCTGTCCAGGTGGGCATTTTTTCACAGGATATTATGCCCGCCAGGACATTTTTTATATGATTAAAGTGTTAAATGATATCCATTGCCTTGTTATTACTGGACGTATTTCAACTTATAATTGCGAACTTTAATATATTGTTACTTCGACAGAGAGTTGTCTCATTGGCACTCATACCATCCGTATCTTCTTATTTATATTTTTTAATATATATATACATGTATAATGATTTAAATTCAAACAAGTAACACATGTTGTTCAGTATTATTTTCTTTCGAGGACACAATTTAATAACAATTACTACGAAAAAATTGTCCTGTAGGTGGACCATATTTCATAACTGTTGCTGTAAAATGCTGTCCACTTAGGCATGTTAGGGATAATATTTCATGGCAATGGACATTATTTAATACCAAAATTCTATATTGTCTTTTTCCTTCTCCTCATAATAAATATAGTAAAGTTCTTCACATTTGATTTTGTACTTTACTCACTTCTTTCTTATTGTTCTTCTTTCATTGTCATTAGCATTAGCTGGGTATTTCTTAGACCTTAAATGTCTCTATATTCACTTCCATCCATTATTTGTTTGTTTACATGTGTATATTAATCAATTTCTAATCAATCGTTCAGATTTTATTAAAATTCAAGTATGATAACACTTTTTAATGACATTTGTATTACTTCCCTTGGAGGACACAATTTAATAGCAACTACTATGAAAACTTGTCCTGTGGGTGGACACTATTTCATAACTTTTGCAGTAAAAATCTGTCCACTTAAGGGACAATATTTCATGGCAATGGACATTATTTAATACCAAAATTCTATGAAAAACTGTCCAGGTGGACATTTTTTCACAGGACACTATTGTGTCTTACATTTTCACCTCAAAATTTACTCTGAGTACAGACAAACCTGTGCATCTGGAAAAGAAGATGATAAAATTAACAAACAGTTGAGTTTCACTTGATATGGTCCACTCATGTAAACAGTTTAAATCACCAATTATTGTCAGGTATCTATTGTCCATCTATTGTCCATGTCAATCAATACAGTTCACTTCAATTATTACCTGTGGGGGAAGTTCTCAAACTTTTATTTTGGCACCTTCTGGAGGAATGAAAAAAAGTGCACTGCAAAATCCTGTTAAGTTTTTAATTTTCTGAAACATAAAATATATTCAAATTCTATTTATCTAAGGCATGCTATGCCTTAAAACTTTTCCAGATACACAGATTTGTCTGTACTCTGATTAAATTTTGAGGTGAAAATACAGCCATATTAGCCAAAGGGTCCACACGAACCTTAATATGTCTTGAAACAACTTGCAGTGAACGCTATTAGTAATATCTTAATTATGTTTATGTTATTAAAAAAAAAACAATTTCTTTTGTTATGAATAACAATGGATGTTTTCGGGATGTAGAAGCAGGGGTTTCCAGAAACCCCGCTCGTCACACCCTGTGGTCAAAATCCATTGTTGTTCGTAACAATAGATCTATTCAATTTACACTTGTTTCAGAAATAGAAACTATGAAGTATAACAATAGAACTGCTTCAATGATTAGCTCTTATATAGTACTACATCGGGAGGATAAAGAACTTCTGGGGTAAGCATTCTTAAAGGCCGGTATGGGCTTTGCTCATTGTTGAAGGCCGTATGGTAACCTATAGTTGTTAATTTCTGTGTCATTTGGTCTCTTGTACAGGTTGTCTCATTGGCAATCATACCACATCTTTTTTTTTTATATATATTGATATTGTTGTCAGTTAGGAAGGCTCGCATGTCACTTTCGGTGCAGTCTTTCCTAATTACTCCGACATACAAACGTGGTGATGATTGCTTCTATGTTTGGATTTTTTCATGATTTTCTATAATCTTTGACATTTCATATGAACTAAATTCGGACATGCTATTATCATCGATGACTGTGTCTATCGCCCAATGCGTATTTTATCGAATTTGGCTTTATTTCCATTTTTCGGACGCAATGTTCGTCCTCTAGGAATGCTTACCCCAGAAATTCGTTTGCCCCTCGTTGTAGTACTACCCAAAAGCTATTTATTAGAGCAGAATCTATAATCCCTAGCCATACAGAACTGCCGGGGCAATGGTTTTGAACAGTGGGTGACCCCAGTGCATATTTTATCAAATATGACTCTTTTTCCGTGTTACGGACGAAATTTTCGGCCTTTAAGAATGCTTACTCCAGAAATTCTTTAAACGTTCATCGTGTCAGTTTAACGGACCATACGAGTATATACGCGGATAGTCATGGTTCAAATACTCATATGGTCTGGAAGATATATATAGCTGGATACATATCTCTTGTCCTGTGTTTGTTTGAAGGACTTGATACAATTTGTCAAGGTCTTCAAATATGTCCAGTTAACCTTGTTTCGTCTCTCAAAACGATTGGTTTTAGCAATATGAGGACATGTTGATAGCACTTCATTCGCAACTTGATATGCGAATATGTTTACCACGGATTTCATTGAAAAATGATTCAATTTCACTGTACATCAGCAGTTTTTAAAACATTAATGGATGTTTTCGGGATGTATAGAAGCAGGGGTTTCAAGAAACCCCGCTCGTCACACCCTGTGGTCAAAATCCATTGTTATTTGTTATTCGTAACAATAGATCTATTCAATTTACACGTATTTCTAATAACACAGTTTAACAAATAATTTCTTTAAAATGTACAATTGTTATCTAGAAATAACTTTTGATCGGTGTCGTCATCGGCTTTGTCTTATTATTGATTTTCTCGACTCTATCATAAGAAGAAGATTTTTTTTTCTTTTTCACTAGATTTCCCACTGCTTATTCGTTCACACGTTGCACGTTTTTAATGCTTTCTCTTCTATTATTTTCTTGTCTCTGATGTTAGTTATGGGTTCGGTGAGTTTAAATTACTCTGTTTGCACGTTTGTACCCGTCTCCGCGGTCGACTGATACCCTGTTACTTATTCACTAATTATTTGTTCCTTATACGATTTTTATACGTTGCACTTTTTAATGCTTTATTTTCTAGTCTCTGGTGTTAGTTTTGGGTTCGTAGACGTGAAATAACCCAATTTACGCATGTGTACCCCTTTCCGCACTAGACTGATAACCTGTTACTTATTCGCTACTTATTCGTTCTTTATTCGCTTTTTATACATTGCACCTTTCTAATGCTTTATTTTCTTTCATTTTCTTGTCTCTGGTGTTACCTATAGGCTTGGTGAGGTGAAATAACCCTATTAGCGCGTGTGGACCCGGTTCAGCGCTCGACAGATCCTGTTACTTATTCGCTTTTTATATGTTGTACCTTTCCCGGGCCAAGTTAATGTTTTCTTTTCTTTTATTTTCTTGTCTCTGGTGTTAGTTCTGGGATCGTACAGGTGAAATAACCCTATTAGCGCGTATGTACCCGTTTCAGCGGTCGACTGATACCCTGTTACTTATTTGCTACTCATTCGTTCCGTATTCGCTTTTTTAACGTTGCACCTTTTCAATGCTTTCTTTTCTTTTGAATTATTTGTTTGTCTCTGGTGTTAGCTTTGGGTTCGTAGAAGAGAAATAACACTACTATTATCGCGTATGTACCCGTTTTAGCGCTCGACTGATACCCCTGTTACTTATTCGTTCCTTATTCGCTTTTTATATGTTGTACCTTTTTAATGTTTTCTTTTCTTTTCTTTTTTTTTTTTTGGTGTTAGCTAAGGTATTGTAGACGTGAAATAACCCTATTAGCGCGAATGTAACGGTATCCGCGGTCGACTGCTACCCTGTTACTTATTTGCTTCTTATTCCTTTTTAAACGTTGTACCTTTTTAATGCTTTCTTTTCTGTTCTTTTCTTTTCTTTTCTTTTCTTTTTGTGTTAGCTAAGGGTTCGTAGACGTAAAATAACCCTATTAGCGCGTATGTACCCGTTTCAGCGCTCAACTTATACCCTGTTACTTATTCGCTATTTATTCGGTCCTTTTTCACTTTTTTATACGTTGCACCCTTTAAATGCTTTCTTTTATTTAATTTTTTTGTCTCTGGTGTAAGCTTTTGGTTCGTAGAGGTGAAATAACCTTATAAGTGAGAATGTACCCGTTTCTGCGCTCGATTGCTACCCAGGTACTTATCTAAGTTCTGTTAAATTGTTTTGTCATTTGATTTATATCTGTAATACTCATGTATCAACATCTGCCATAAAATTGACTAACTTGCTTATCACTTATGGTGATGAAATATCGTGTGTATATGTTTCATGACAATTATTGTCCCAAATAAAATTACCTGGTAAAAATTCCATTTTAGTATATTCATTGTCATGCTTTTTAGTGCTTCATGTTGTGCTGTGTAATTTATTGCATGTGTATTATGTGTTGTATTGTTATATGTTGTATTGTTATAAATGTCTTGTATGTCGGTTAAAAGCTCATTAGAGCTTATGTTGTCTCTGTTTGTATACCTTGCCGACTCTAAATAAAGCTTATTTATTATTATAATAATTATTATTATGATTGACTATAGGGACATTAAATTTCAATACAATAATGTAATCAATAACACTACAACCTCCTCTAGCATCAAAATATGTACAGTTTCTGAATTCTGAAGTAACAAGTGCCTGTGCTCAATTTTCAAAGTTGTCACACTTTAGACGTCAAATTTAGGGCAGTTGAATATGATTAAAAAAAAAAGTAAAACAGATGATTTACGATATGCTCATATTAGGAGGGCGTCGGTTACTTTTTTTTAAATAGTCTCGAGTAAGGGACTTATCATTTTTTATCTGGGAGGGGGGGGGCTGGTCAAAATGCAGGGGAGGTCAAGTTTTTTTTTCTGTATGTGGAAAAGGGGGTTAAATTTTTTTTATAAATTCAATGTGGGGGATCAATATTTTTTGCACATAGAAATAAGTAGTTCACATACTTCAACGAAGACAAAATGCCAAGAAGAACATTACAACAGTCAAATCGAAATATATTTTTAACATCATTCATATACAATTAAGTTAGACATCACAAGACTTTAGTGATGTAGGATCTGAAGCTGCCATTTTGTGTCATTTTGTCCCATATAAAATGCATAGGTGCTTCATAATCCGAATAATTTAGTCGTTATATTTCACTCACTTCGATCACTAAATTAACAAGCATTACTGCCAAGTTTTGTTATAATCAGCTTAATAGTTTGAGAGAAATTAAGTATAAATTAAAACGAAATCTACAGCGATTTGTGCAAAATTTTGTCCAAAAATACAAATCACGCCGCATCATGGAAGAATATAGTGTAGAGCAATAAATTATCCAATAAATGATTAAATATTCATCTAATCTGCATACAAACAGTTGAATATTGATACAACAGATGATTCTGAGATGATGAACAACACTAACGTATCTTTTTGTTTCATTACAAGATCGCTTTGGGTCCATTTATACCTCTCACTCCCTCAAAATTTGTACTTTTTTATGCTAATAAGTCAAAATTTTGAGGTTACTATCAAACATTTATGAATGAAATGTGACAATAAATGAGTGATTGAATTGTTCAAGCTGTAAGCATGAACTATCCATATAAAAGTTTAGCGACTCAATGGAGGTTTCAATAAGGCCGTACGTAAAACTTAAGTTTAAGCAGCGTTCAAGAGAGGGACATATAATAGATCCCTCTAAGTAAATAATGTGTTGCTACTGTTTCAAAAAGTTTACATTTTAATGTATATTTTTTACAGAGTTACTAAGGATAAAGTTTTCTTTAATAGCCCAATATAGGAAATTAGAAAAAAAGTCAGAAAAAGCTATTCAAAGCACTGGCTTGCTCTACCTACTAATATTCATGGAAGAGGCCTCATGGAAGACCCCTATTGTAAGGCAATTTTCCCTCAAATGTGTTTTTGGCATGTTTAATAGAGGGGGGATCACAATTTTTAAATGTTTTTACGGGGGGATCAAATACAAATAGTGAAATATTATGGGGGGATCAAGAAATTTTGTATGTTTCATTTCAAAATGACCAGCCCCCCTCCCAGGTAAAAAATGATAAGTCCCTATTAAAATAGTGCTTTTAAAAAATAGATCTGAATGTTGTTTCGGAATAACAACTGCTTTTCACCGGTATTGCTTTACTATTATACACAATATAATTTTATCCAATCAAAATTCAGCATTAAATTCAGACCTTATTGCTGACATCATTTCCGCACCCCCCTACACCCACAAAGGAAATTTGCAAGTGGTTTGTCTTCCCTATAAGGAATAAAGGTATAAGACACGTGCTGAATTTGAACTTTGTCCCTGTTATTATTTTAGCGCATCAAAGGATAACTGTTGTTATATACGAGGTACCCTTTTACCATGAATTGGCATGGCAACGAAAATTTATGAAATCTGCTTTTCAAGTGTCTCCATTATTTACCATTATTCAAGACATTTTCATTTTACTATACTAAGATTATTTTTACTTTCATTGAATTAATTTGATTCCTGTAAACAAAAAAGGGGGGTTCAGGTGCTATCCAATGGATCAGTTTACAAAATCCATATCACTATTTTGAAATCTGGCCCATGACCATGTTGACATAAGAATTAGTGACACAAACTATTGACATTATACAACAATACCTTTTTTTATGCCTCTGATATTTTCTCTTGTTAGGTGAAGTTTAATGCGACTCTGTAACAAGTGTAATGTCTTGTAGTCAGGTCGAGAATATAGCCAATATAGTCCCCAGAATCCAACTTTCTACCAAATCGCACCACTCATATTAACAAACTCTCCCGACTTGTGAAAAGAAAGGGTTTTAATCGGCCTACTATCTCGCCCCACTCATGAAAATGCTTAATTTGGGCCTTCCAAATCGCTCCACTTATGAAATGTAGTTTAATCCTGATGATTTTAGGCTGACCAACTTGCCCCACTATTGAAAAGTAGTTTAACCCTTATGAATAAGGTCTTCCAAATCACCCCAATCACATATGAAAAAGAATTAAATCCAGCTGAATTAAGGTCTATGTACTTGTCTCACTATTGAAAAGTAGTTTAATCCTGATGAATAAAGGCATGAAAGGTATGCCAACTTGCTGTGTATTGCTATACTGTTTTTTTTTTATTTCGAAACTGTATGAAAAAAATAAAGTTCTTCTTAAATAATACAACCAACACAGTTACATACCGATGAATAATGTATCACCAGTTTTATTTTTAAAATGAAGCATCATTTAAAATGTTTAATTTAATATCAAATATTAAATTTTCTTTTTTTTTTCATATATATTATCATAATATTCGGACTTTTATTTGTTTGTGAGTGAATTGGTCGAGTTTATACACCAATAAATTCCTTTAAAAAGGCGTTTAATCCTTATAATTCTTTAAAAATGGAGAAAAGGAATTAATTTTCCCACACTCGTAACCTCTATCACACGTAAATTGTATATTTGTGTCATTGAATAGGCCTGGCACATGAATATATCTGTTGGTAAACGCAAAAATATGTACTCCATGAAATTTCCTATCTGATAATAAATAAACTGCCAAAAACTCTTATTATCATTCAAATGAATGTTTTGTGTTTATTATTTAATTTAATGATTAACGTGAAGTGAAAATACATTTTGTTAACATCGAGCTGGATTGTGTTATTATCGCCTCCATCTTGTTTACATTGGTTACGAAAAGAAGTTTGGTCAACGTCGTCTATCGAAAAATAAACAACGTCAAGAACAACTACCGGAAGTCCTCTCGACCAATCATATCAACGTATTCCCTATTATGCAAATCATATAAGAATTATTGTAACATGGTTTTTTTTGTTGGGTGTTGGAAATTCTCTAACTTTTTCAAAATGGAGTTTCAAAAGTGTTACATGCATTTTTTAGGTTCATTTAGCTGCCGAAAGGCCAGTTTCTTTTAAAACATAAAGAGACACAAACAATGTTATGCATACATGTAGCTACAGGTACCACCAGTCCTTAAGGAGCCTCTAGAGCCTATTAGAAAGTTGCTACATACATGTATAAACCTTTGCATAAAATCTCATTCTTTTTGTGTATTACATTTATATCTACTGTGACTGACTTTGTATATTTATTCATAACAAATTTTCCTTTTCAGGGTTTATAGAAAGCCAGAGTGAAGTGAAAATTTAGACTTTGTGGCTCCCTCAGAAAGAAAAAAATGGAAGATAGCTTAATTCCTATAGAAGACCCAAAGTCTGACATTTATAAAGAAGTTCACATAGAAATGATGACCACTGGTAATTCGTCCACTGAAGTCGATATGGCAGGAGCATTGAATGCTTCCGCTGCTCTTAGTGCTTCTGCTGCTTTGAAAATCACAGAAAGTACAAGTGAACACAGTACTACACAGGAAAACCCTCAGGAATTAGATTCCATGGTTACCAAGAGCAGAGATGAAAATACAAATGGCGAGAGAGAACACTTATTGGATTTTGTCTGTAAGGATAATTCAGCTCAAGATATAAATATAGATAGTGACACTGTTGATCATGATAATACAGAATCAATAACATCTCCTGTAACCATGGAAACTGACAATACAGACATTTTAAATAACACAGACTCAATCATACCTTGTGGAAGTATTGATGCTTTGAAGGAAAACCATGAAATGTCTCCATTAGAAAATTTAGAAACTGTTACAACTTCTGATGGTCTGAAGCAAACACAGATTTCAGCATCTTTAGATATAGAAATATCCGATAATGAAACTCCCTCTATGTCAAGTACTCCCACGACAGACCAAGTAAGACCTGAAACATTTATCGATGACATTGAAAAATTTGTCAATTTTGTTTCCAAAGAAGGTCTGGCAAAAAAGATGAATGAATCAGTATCTCCTGTTTCAAAAGAGCGTAATGATATAGAAAATGATAATATTTCTGATGATACCAGTCCTACTGGCAAAACCACCATTGATCAGTCAAAAGAGAAAACAGTTGTTGCTTCAAGTTCTAGCATTGTTAACATTAAAACTGAGAAACAGGAGGAGGATGATGTAGATGCTGATTTGAAATCCTATGCTTTGGCTGTTAATGACATGCTTGACAGCCAAGTGGAAGTTTCAGCTAATTCTAATGAAATTGATTCAGAAATACAAACAGTAGTGGTCTCCAATACTGATGCTGGGGAACTAAAGATGACTTTTACTGATAATGCTGTCGGCAGATTTGAGACAATTGGAAAAAGCGAAGACAAAGTTGCAGGTGATACGTTGGCTGAAGGTTTGAAACCTCTTCGAAAAAGTCATAGACCAAAGAGGAGGAGAGTGTATGAAGATTTTGAGCAGACTGATACAAGTGCCATTGATTATGTAGTTGATCAAGTAAGTAAGGCTATAGAGGAGGACCAAGAGTTTATTAAAATGTCAGCACCTAGCACATCAAAGTCGAAACGTAAAAATCCATCACCAAGAAAAGCTAAGTTGACCGTTGAGGAAGTTTACGAAAGTGACACAAATGAAGACAGCGATGGTAACATTGATAAAGATATACTTAAAGTCAGAATGGCTAAGTGTGACATCTGTGACAAACATTTCCTAGATAAGAAATTAGAGGAACATAGAAGAAGGCATAATAAAGAGCGCAAAACTCAGTTAGATTATCCATGTGTTGTCTGTGGCAAGGTATTCCTAAAACGTGAGCACTGGCGTCGTCATGTTAAAATCCATGATGATGTGCGACCCTACTCGTGTACTGAATGCGACAAAAGTTTCCGTCGAAAAGAGCATGTCAAACGACACATGTTAATACATTCTGGTGAGAAACCTTTTGAATGCCTGTACTGTCATCAGTTTTATCAACGTGCTGATCATCTGAAGAAACATATACAACAGCACATGAAAGGTACATATCAAGAGAGGAGAAGAAAAGGTAATGAAGAATCTCCACCGGAGCGCACTTCAAAAAGAAGAAAACCAACAACTAAGGCAGCTAAACTTGTAGCACAGAGTCGTAGGAGTAAACTTAAACAAGAAGAGGAGGAGGAGGAGGAGCATTATTCTGATGGGTTGTCTGATGATGAAATGTATACTGCATAGAATTTGTAAATAAGTGCACTAGTATACATGTTGTGTACTTTCAAACTGGAGATTTTAAATGAAAACAAAAGCAAAATGCTGTCATACAGGATTTAAGATATTAACATTCAAACTTTGTCATGTTAAATACTAGTACATGAAATAGGTGGATAAAAACTGTAGTTAATGCATTAATTGTACTGACATTTTATTAATTTTAATTTTAACAAGAATTTTTTCTATTTTTAGACAATACACTTACACACAAATTTAATTATACAGTTTTGACAAATTTTATATTTTGAACTTTAAAAATGACAACTTTTTAAAAAAAATTAACCAACATTTAAAAAAAAAGGTCTTGGTCATGTGACATGTCGGTAAATAATGTTTTGTAAGTAAACAGATTTACATTAGTAGATTTCATTGATTCATTGATTATAAGATTCATGTTATATATTAAATATAGTAGCTACTTATATATGTATTAGCTTCTCAAGAATAAATTGTAAATGTCAACAAGTTTTTTGATGATTAGTAAAAACCAAACTAATTATAAAATTTTACTACATGAATTTACAATTGCTAGCTGTGGATATTTTCAACATAAAAAAGTTGATTTTTTAAGAAAGACCTATTGATTTTGTTGTGATTATTAGGTCTTTCCACTTTTCTGTGGAAAGACCTATTGTATTTGTTCTGATTATTATATTTTTTTTTATCTTCTTCCACCACTTTTATTTCTTGCGTGTAACTTTTGTTTCGCAAGATGTCGCTTTGATGTTTGGTATATAATATCGCATAGTTTATGCGCCTTTGAAACTATCCCTGCCTAACCGTAGACTTTTTTTTGTAAGAGTTATCTCCCCAAACATGCCAAACACTGTTTTTCTTGTGGGTGCACTGCATATCCTCCATAACCGTAAAAGAAAGGGACAAATTTATTTTACCAAATTGCTCGTTATATCCTAGGATGTTTTGTGCAATTTTGACGGAAGCGGTACAAAGATTCCATATGAGAGTTATTTCCCCTTCTGTATTTGACATTAGTGATAGATTAATGTATAGCATGAATGGTAAGTGATAGAGACCTAAAGTAGATTGATTTGAGGTCCTTGATTCACTAAAATAAAATTGAGGTCAAGGTTAAAGGTCAAGGTCATATTCTAAATTTTGACTTTTCCTTGTTTTATGATCTCCTCTGTCACTTTTAAAGATATATATATATATAAAAGAACTTGTGCAAAATGTTTGCCTGATTGTTATGAAGATATGATAAATTGGGTCTGAAACAATTCAATGACATTTTATGGGAGTTATTGTCCTTGAAATGATTAAATTTAAGGTTAATTGATTATAACTCCTACTTTGTACATGATAAAGCCATAGGGTCTTTTGCAAACTGTTGGTTGACATATGACCTTAAAAAATATCAACCGGAAGTGACCTTGAGTAAACCGGAAGTAGCCATTTTTGCACTATTTCATGGAAAAGTACCTAGAAACTATATATTTTTTAAATACGCATACAAATGCCAATCATTTGAGACCGGAAGTGAACTTCAATAAACTGGTAGTACCTCATATCTCCCTTACTACAGGCAAAAGTATATAGAAACCATATATTTTTGGAATCAGTGAGAATAAAGCTATCATGTGAAACCGAAAGTGACTTTTTTTAAACCGGAAGTTGACAATTATCTCCCTTATTTCAGGCAAAAATATATAGAAACATATAGTCATTGAATCAGTATGAAGAAACCTCTTAGATGCCAATAGTAACTTTGAGTTTACCGGAAGTAACTTCTTATCAATAATTTAGAAAAATTGATGTGGAAAGACCTTTAATTGTTCTCTGAACAATTGGTTTTTAATTTTTTTTTTTCTTCTATTGCCACTTTTATTTCATGCGTGTAATTTTTGTTTCGCAAGATGTTGCTTAGATGTTTGGTATATGATATCGCTCTGTTTATGTGGCTTTGAAACTGACCCTGCTTGACTGAATACTTTTTATGCTCCTGCCGTAGCGGTGGGGGGCATTAAGTTTTACCCTTGTCCGTCTGTATGTCCCAAAATTGGTTTCTGTTCTCTAACTTGATTTTGCGTCAACCACATGTTATGAAAGTATACACAATGCTTATTACCACAAAACACAGATCAATTTTGAATTTTGGTGGCGTCACTTTAACCGTCATACCCCTTTATAAATGGAAAAAATTGCAAAATTTTTAGTTTCCATTCTGTAACTTAAGTTTGCCCCCAACCAAACATTATGAAACCTATACACAATATTCATTACCACAAAACTAAGATCAAGTACAAATTTTTTGTTTCCGTTTTCTAACTTGTTTGCCTCAACCAAATGTTATGAAACTTGTGCACAATGCTTATTACTACATAATACAGATTAAGTACGAAATTTGGTGGCGACACTTTTACCATTCTTGAGTTATGCATATGTCCCTTTATAAACATAAAAATTGCTGAATTTTTCTTTTCCGTTCTCTAACTTTAGTTTGTCTCAACCAAATGTTATAAAACTTATACACAACCGTTCTGGAGGTATGCGTGTTTACAAATAGAAAAATTGCTGAATTTTTAGTTTCTGTTCTCTACTTAAGTTAGCCTCAACCAAATGTTATGAGACTTACACACAATGCTTATTACACAAAACTCAGATCAAGTTCAAATTTGGGTAGCATCACTTTTACCGTTCTTTTACTATATGATATGCAAGTGGGGGCATCATCTGTGTCTACATGTGGACACTATCCACATTTGTCTTTGTAAGAGTTATCTCCCCAAACACTGTTTTCCTTGTGGTTGCATCTCTTCCTTAATCGTATAAGAAATCAACAAATTTATTTTACCAAATTGCTCGTTATATCCTTCGCATGTTTTGTCCAATTTTGATCAAAGCAATACGAAGACTCCATATGAGAGTTGTTTCCCCTTTTGTGTTTGACATAAGTTATTAATGTATCACATGAATTGTTAGTGATAGAGACCTTATATATTTTAATTTGAGGTCCTTTGTTCACAAAAATGTATTTCATGTAAAGTTCAAAGGTCAAGGTCATGTTCTCAATTTTGACTTCCTTGATTTATGATCTCTGACACTTGTAAAGATATATATAAAAGAACTAGTGCAAAATGTTTGCTTTATAGTGACGAAGATATGATACATTTGGTCTGAAACAATCCAATGACATCTTGTAGGAGTTCTTGCCCCTGAAATGTTTTAATTTAAGGTTAATTGACTATTATTTCAACTTAGTTCATGATAAATCCATAGGGTCTTGTGCAAAATGTTGGATGACATATGACCTTGAAAAATGTCAACCGGAAGTAGTCATTTTTGCATTTATTTCATGGAAAATTACAGAGAAACCATATGTCTTTTAAATAGGCATACATAAACCTTTCATTTAAGACCGGAAGTGACCTTCAATAAACCGGAAGTAGCTAATTATCTCCCTTATAACATGCAAAAGTATATAGAAACCACATTTTTTTGGAATAAGTGTAAATACAGCTATCATATGAGACTGGAGGTGACATTGTCAAAACTGAAAGTTGGCAAATATCATACTTATTTCAGGCAAAAGTATATAGAAACCATAAATTTTTGGAATCGGTGTGAATACAGCTATCATATGAGACTAGAAATGACATTTTCCAAACCGGATGTAGCAAATTATCTCCCGTATTTCAGACAAAAGTATAGAGACCATATATATTGAATCAGTATAAAAGAACTTATGATTGGACGCCAATAGTAACTTCGAGTAGACTGGAAGTAGCTTAGCAATTATTTAGACCATTGATGTGGAAAGACCTTCAATTGTTCTCTGAACAATTGGTTTTGAATTGTTTTAAATTTTGTTAGGTCAGGCCTTTTATAGCTTGCTGACAGTATGGGTTTTGCTCATTGTTGCAGGCTGTACAGCAACTTGTAGTTGCATGCAGCTATGCAGGTCCATACCAGTATTGGTCTTGTTTATGGTGTACATCTATAAGCAATGGGTCAACTTTTTTTGGTGTATGGAATGACTATAAGGTATACATAGATATAAGAAGATGTGGTATGAGTGCCAATGAGACAACTCTCCATCCAATTCAAAATTTATAAAAGTAAACCATTATAGGTCAAAGTACGGTCTTCAACACGAAGCCTTGGCTCACACCGAACAGCAAGCTATAAAGGGCCCCAAAAATTACTAGTGTAAAACCATTCAAACGGGAAAACCAACGGTCTAATCTATATAAAAATGAGAAACGAGAAACACTTATGAACCACATCAACAAACGACAACTACCGAACATCAGATTCCTGACTTAGGACAGGTGCAAACAAATGCAGCAGGTTTAAACGTTTTAATGGTACCAAACCTTCACCCTCATCTGAAACAATAGTGTAACATCACAACATAGAAAGACACACTATAAAATATCAATTGAAATGGCTTAAATATAAAAAAGAAGATGTCACGGGTATGATTGCCAATGAGACAACTCTCCACAAGAGACCAAATGACAAAGAAATTAACAACTATAGGTCACCGTACGGCCTTCACCAATGAGCAAAGCCCATACCGCACAGTCAGCTATAAAAGGCCCCGAAGTGACAATGTAAAACAATTCAAACAAGATAACTAACGGCCTAATTTATGTACAAAAAATGAACCGAAAAACAAATATGTAACACATAAACAAACGACAACCACTGCATTACAGGCTCCTGACTTGAGACAGGCACATACATACAGAATGTGGCGGGGTTAAACATGTTAGCGGGATCCCCCCCCTAACCTGGGACAGTGCAGTGGTGTAACAGTACAACATAAGAACGAACTATAATCAAAGTACTGAAGTACTGAACATCGGATGACCGCAGGTTCTTGTGTATGGTCAAAAGCACATGTCACAGAAACAGATCACATCTCTATACCTGAAACTGAGGTTAATTTACAGAGATTTTTTTTTCTGATACAAGTTCCTGCTTGGATGATGAATAAATGACAGGAAATTCAACCTCACCGTAATAACTATTATATTGTAGTGATACAAATCAGTATACCTTAGACTATTATACTAATATAATAATAGTTCCAGAGAATATACTGGTTTGTTGTTATATATTATATTAATATTACGGTTGCATGTATATATAATTTTCATCTATTTGTATATCATTCTATTCTACTATTATTATAGTGCAGTGCAAGTGCATGGTGGACACTCTTCTGTAAAAAAAATCAAAGCCTTAAAGGCTGTAAAAGCAATTGCTGCCATGTTAAAGCTTTGTGGACTTTTATTTTTCATCCATATATATAAGAATTAAACCTGATAGGACAGGACAGGAGTGTTGACTAGTGAGAAGCAAGACGGTTTTAACTTTATATCAATAAAAGACTTTAGCAGGAAATCATTTTAAATATGTTTTATATTTCACAAGGAGACAACAAGTTTACCAGGCTAAAGTTGGGGTTAATTATACATGTGCTGAAACATATAACTAAA